CAATTGGTTCGACTTGGTCAAAGGAAGATCATCTAAACAAATCGTAGCCGTTGCTTTTTGGTATGTTTTCTCGAACACGTGGAATTTTAAAAAAGCTGTGGCTGATACAGAGTGGGTTTCAACCCAATAAAAAGTAATAAAAAATTGGGTCAGATCAAATTTGGGCTTGAATCGTTTCAGCCCGCTGAGATTACTGAAACGTCTCATGCGGATACATGTCGGAATTTGAGTGGAGCGGCGCATTTTTTTCGCCTAAACAGGCGATGAGATTTCATTTGGTCAGAAAAAAATTTCTTTCTCGATTCTTTTTTTCTGAGTGGCGATTACGGCAATAGAAATGGCAATTCCTCGTCGTCCTTCGCCGTGATCGTCCACTTCAACGATTTGCCTCTCTTCTCCTCTTTTCTCGTTCTCTCTCACCGTCCATGAAAACCGGCGTCTCAGATCCTCTCTCAGACAACCGTTTCGTATTCTCTGAGGCGATTACGGCGATTGAGACGGTGAATCGTCGTCGTCCTTCGCGGTCTCATCTTTCTCTTGCATGAGTGAGATCCTTCTCGTCTTCTCTCGCTCTCTCTCACCGTCTTACAAAACTGCCGTCTCAGATCCTCTCTCAAACCGCCGTTTGAGATCGCATGCGACCATCTCAGATCCGTCTCGTGTTCCTCCTTCGTCCGCCGTCTCAGATCCTTTCTTTCAAAACCGCCGTGTCAAATCCTTCCTTTCAATCGGTAAATGTTCTTCTCTCTAAGCCGATCCATTGTTCTTACTTTGTTTTGATCGATTCATTTTCCGTGTCATGAGATCATTGTTTCATGTTTGTATTTACAAGTTTCGATTAGATTTCGGTTTGAGAGATGTTTGACATTTTCGATTCCTTTTGCATGTGTAGGTAAAGTTGTATATGGATTTGGAAGAATGATTAGCATCATTGGGCAAGAACGGTTTCAGACAATCAGCTCTGGTGAGTTCGTTCATCTGTATATTGATCTGTACACTTGTTATAAATTCTATAAGACTCTAGTTTGAAGATTGTGTGAAAACCGGTTTATTGATCTGTACACTGATCTATTTTTGATCTGTTCACATTGCTAGAAATTATTTGGTTTTATCATTGAGAGATAAGATTGAAATGATTTGGTTTTGTCATTGAGAGATAAGCTAGAAATGATTTGGTTTTGATCTGTTCAGATTGTGTAGATAGAGTTCAACTTGATAAATTCTTGCTTCAGATTGAGTTAGATAGATTGC